GTGAAGGGAGGGCTAGGAATGGGGAAAAAATAAGAACGAAGATGCATTATGTAAAGGTACAATTCCCAATGAGAAATGTAATTGTGTTGTGTACTGAAAATGTACCAATAAAAGAATTTAATACAAAAAAAAAGAAAAGTATAAATTTTCTTTCAATATTAAGCAGGGAAGAGGCAAAGGGTCTGGTTATCATTTCTACCAATCTAAATGGGCAACTAGGGGGTGAGGTCCTCTGTTATTTCTTACTTTATGTGTAAATGGCGGGAATTTTCTTTCAGAAAGTGGAGACCAACTTAGCCAAAATGTATCCAGGGCGCTAAAAATGTTCATATGTTAAATCCAATAGTTCTACTTCTGTGGCAGAATCCCAAGGAAATAGATGGGAAAAAAATTTTGCCTTTGGAACAGCAAAAAAGCAAAACAACAACAAAGGCAAAACCTAAAATAAATTTTATGTTCATATGACACACTGATATGCACCATAAAAAATCTTGTTCTCAGAAAATATTTAGTGACATGGAGAAATGCTTCCTATAAAGCGTATCTTGTAAAACACATATATAGAATAAGAAATAAATTGTAAAAATCAATGGCTTTTCCCAAGTAAGAGTTAAAGATGTAATTTATTTTCTTCTCTGCAAATACTCTGTACCCTCTAAATTTTCTATCAGAAGTGTATACTATTGGTTTTTTTTTAAAAAAAAAAACAAAACAGTATTATATTAAGCAACGGGTCCAGATAATCTAGATCCTAGGTAACTTTGACATTGGAATTTATTCTTCTAGTATCCAAATTAATTGCAACTTAAACAATCATAAACTGTATTAGAAACACCAACAAAAAACACATACTCCTAGTAAGAACTTTATAGAGCTACAATATGTTATAAATTATTAAACAGAAAAGGTCAAGCCTGTTATGTACAGCAATTTGTTCCTTGGGATCAGAGTTTGTATCTTTAATCATTCAGCCCTTGGGATTTAATTGCTGAAAGAATGACCCTTATCAACTGTTGTTTTTTTGCAGAAGTTGTGGCTGAAGGAATGACTTAACAACATGGATTCAAGGAAGAGTAAAATGTCTTATCTCAAGGGCTTAAATTTCCTGCTGGATTCCGACAAGATTTTTGAAGGGCCCACAAGATCTGCCTCTAATCAGTAGCTGATGACCATGGATTCTGAACCTCGATTTCTCCAACTAACGGGGTTTAGCAGATGGACTGATATTCCACAAACAGGTTATTTCTACTTCACTTTTACAGCGGTCCAGAGAAGTCTGCACCAGGCAACCCCACCACCAGGATGGGCGGGAAATCCCCGCGGCTAGATGTAGCCCAAAAAAGCCGGAGGAATATTCAGAGATTCGGGTCCGGTCCTCAGCTCCCCAGGAGTCCTGCTGGTCTCATTCCTGGGTCATCCACAGAAGGACCAAGAGTGGTGGGCTGTGGCTCAGTTCCCTCAGCAGGGGTCCCCAGGATCCTCGCGGCCCCTTTCCTCATCCCGAAAGGCCTTCACCCTCAGAACTACGCAACTGCCGGCTCCTTGGAAGCCCGATCTGCCCTCAGGTTCCCCAGCTCACAACCGCCCTCACCCGGGTCTCACCAAGGGTCCGGAGCCATCGTGCAGTCTCCACTCGCTTCTCGCACACTTCCTGCTCCAGGCAGCTGACTACGGTGGCCTGCATGGCTCATTCCCCGTGGTTCAGCCGGTGCGCGACCGGAGTTTGCAAAGTGACTATTTACACTAAGGCCTCAGAGTTGTAACCAAAAAATAAACGTTCAGGGGTTCCCGGCAGAAGAGAGGTTGGAGCAATATATTCTTACTTGGAAATGCGAAGTGCTAGGTGAAATTAAAATCAATTGTTGCTGAACAGAATCTAAGCGTTTTCACAAGAAGACCCTAGCGCTTCAAGAGACCTTCAAGCTGCTCTCTCTCACAGTTCTTTAAAATTTTTATCCTCCTTCAAAAAAAAAAAGTTGGGTTGTGGTGATAATTAAATGCTAAATGAATATTATGATAAGTAAACTATGCCTTAGTAAATCTTTTTAAAAATCTTTAATTTTTTTTACCTTGCTTAAAGCAAAGGGCTCACTCATCAGAGGCAATTCTGTTCAGTTGCTTTAAAAATGCCAGAAGATGCTTAGTTATATAGTTACCAAAAAGGTCACAAACTACACGAAGTATGGAGGAATTTGTTCTGTGCATTTAGTACCCACCCTACCACCCGCCGCCTAAATTTCCAGAAAATAGGAAAAAGATGCCTTTCCCACGTTTGCTAGAGGACAAGTCAACTCCGGCGCTCCAAATTGGTTTCCAGGAGAGCTTGGACCTGATGCGCATGTGCGCGACCGTTACCATAACGACCAGGAGACGCGACACAAGCTGGTGCTGAAAGAATTTCTGAGCCGGCTATGGATGAGAAAATTTCGCCCGAGGCCAAAGAGGTGGCAGACCTGGAACTTGACGCTGTGATTGGCTTCAATGGTGAGGTCTCAAGCGTCCATGGGCTGGGTGGTTTAGGAACCCCGAGGACGTGTAGTGCAAACAGGGATATAGAGAACCCAGTGGCATCTGAAAGGCAGTGCGGAGCAGTGGTAAGGGCCCTACCAGGGCCAAGCACTGGGACACCAACAGCCTCTGCTGCCCAAGGGTCTTGGAGAGTCACTTTCTTGTTCCCAGTGCCCGGGAGCCTCAGCTCAGACAAACGGCAGCGCCTAAAAGGCACTGCAACCAGGGCCGACAGGAGGAGTCCTGCCGAGTCGCCCATCCAATCTCGGAGCCCCACACCGACCGCAAAAACCTCGGTCAACACCGGATGCTGTGTGTGCAGCCCCGGGGACCAACTCACCAAACTTCTGAACTTCTCGCTGTTTAGCAGTTGAGAAAGGGATGTTTCTAAGAAGTGAAGATTTCAGACCAAGCTAGAAGAGGAAGGGGACGCCAGAGGCCGCTCTGAGCACATCTTTTGCCTGCTTGTTAGGCTGAGAACATTAGAATGGAAAAATACTGCGTTCTTTGATTTTGTTTTGTTTTCTCTTTTTTTGTTGAGGCATATTTTTAAAAAAAGCAACGAAGTGTATTTTGAAAAATGAAAAAGTGTGTTGTGATACCTGAAACTTTAATATTGTAATTATGTAGACACAGGATAATCACTGACAAAAATTTAAGCACATTCTAGGATTTAGCTCTTGAGTCTGCCTTTACTTTAACAGTCGGACAGAAAGCAGGTGCTTCATAATCTGAGATATTGACCATTATTAGGGATGTTACAAGTTCATTGGTGAAGGAACTGAATGGCTTCCAGTTGCAAAGGGACCCTGGTGATTCAACGCTCAGCCACACAGCTCTGAGGCTGAATTGTGCTGCTTATGAATTGTTTCTGGAATTTTCAATTTAATATTTTCAGACCTCAGTTGACAGCAAGCAACTAAACCCTTGGAAAGTGAAACCACATATAGCAGGACTACTGTATGGGGATAATTAATACAGCATTATTTCTTGTAGCTAGAAACTAGAAACAACCAAAATGTCCATCAAAAGTACAAAGGTCAAATCAATTGTATTATAGTCATATAATAAACTACTCTGCAGAAGTAAAAGCACAAACTGCTGCTGTACACAACATGGATCATCTCACAAACACAATCTTGAATGAAAAAAGCCGGACACAAAACAGTACACATTATTGTCATTCCATTCATGTAAAGGTCCAAAGTGAAGGAAATGAACCTGTAAAAAGTCAGAACGGTGACTACCTTTCAGGAGATAGCGACTGGAGGGAGAAATTACATTTAAGACATCTAGATGTGATAGTGGGTTTTTTTATTTTGTTTTGTCTTTGAGACAGAATGTAGCCCAGGCTGGTCTTGAACTCACAGGGATCCTCCTGCCTCAGCTTCCCAAGGGTTGGGACCACAGATGTGCATCACTACACCCAGCTTGATGTTCTGTGTCTTAATCTGGGCTACGGTTAAATGAGTGTGTTTAGTAAAAAGTCATTAAGTTTTCTGTATTATGTCTTCAATGAAAAATGTTTATTTAAAAAGGCTGTAGCTGTACTAGCTGTTATGGCTTGAGTGTGTCCCTCAAATATGCTGGGAGCTTGGTCCCCAGTGTTAAGGTGTTGGAACTTTTAAACTGTGGGACCAAGTGGGAGGTGGTTAAAATACCAAGGGCACTGTCTTCAGAAGGGATTAATATGGTCCTCAGAGGATCAAATGTCCACTCACAAGAAGTTAGCTGAAAAAATTATAGTCCAGAAATGTTTTGGAACTAGATGGAGGTGGTTGCATGATGTTGTGCATATACTAAATGCCACTGAAATATCTACATTAAAGTCGCTAATTTTGCATTATGTGAGTTTCACTCCAATAAGTTATTTTTAAATTACACACACACACACACACACACACATATATATTTGCCATGGGCCACCATGCCTGGCTCATATGATTGTTTATAAGGAGCCTGCAATTAATAAAAAGATAGAGCCAGGCATGGTGCCACACACCTGTAATCCCAGCACTTGGGAGGCGGAGCCAGGAAGATCACTGCAAGTTCAAGGCCAGCCTGGCTACATAGTGAGATCAAAGCCAACCTAAATTACATAGTGAGACCTTGTCTCAACCCCCTTCCCCAAAAGATGTATTTCTTAGTAGGTGAAGATCACCCTAAAAGGACAGGAATCTTAGTTTTTGTTTGTTTTATTCTGTGCAGTACTGGGGATCAAACTCAGAGCCTTCACATTGAGCTACAGCCTTAGCCCTTTTATTTTTCATTTTGAAACAAAGTCTCATTTTATCAGTAAGTTACCCAGGCTATGTTCAAACTTGAAATCCTTCTGCCTTGGCCTCTTAGAGTGCTGGGATTATAGGCATGTGCCACTCCCATGCCCAGATGAACCTTATTTTTATAAAAATTATGAAAAAAGTATACTCACAATTAAAATGAAAGGAATCACTTATTCAATAACTACATTGGTCATTTGGACCAAAAAAGTCCGTTTAATTGTGAGACTCACATATACACCAAATTAATTCCAGAGAGAATTAAATATAAAAGAACAAATCATTTCCAGAATACTGGGGATAGTACATTAAGTGAAATAAATCCATCACAGAAAGACAAATACCATGTGCTCTGACTTGTTTGTGAAAGACTGCAAGTTCTTAAAGAAGTGGGGAATAAAATAGTGGCTACTAGGGCCCAGGAGGTTGTGGGGCAGGCAGGGATGAAGACAGGGAGGTTAACAGGTACAGGGGTGCAGTTGGATAGGAGGAGAAGTAACTCTGAATATTCTACAACACAGTAGCGTGACTCTGATTCACAGCAAATAACTGAATATTTCAAAAGAGCTGACAGAGAATATTTTGAATGTTCCCAACATAAAGACAAATGTCTTTATCAAAAATGATTAATGTCTTAGGTGATAGATGAAGATTACCCTGATCTGATCATTACTCATTATATATGTGTATTGAAATTTCACAATGAAACCTATAAATATGGACCATTGCTATGTGTCAAGTAAAGATTCTTTTAAAAGATCCAGAAGACTGAGCCGGGCATGGTGGTGCATGCCTGTAATCCAAGCACTCATGAGGCTGAGGTGGGAGGATCACTGTGATTTCAAGGCCAGCCTAGGCTACATAGTGAGTTCAATATCAGCCTAAACTACAAATTTTTTTTCCTTAAATTACTCTGTATATTTAATACCATATCACTAAAAATACAATTATAATTTGTTTGTTTTTTTCTGAGATAGGGTCTCATTACATAATTCAGGCTGGCCTTGAACTCACAGCAATCCTCCTGCCTCAACCTCCTGAGTGCTGGGATTATAGGCATTTGCCATTTTTTTAACTAGTCAAACTCACTTTAAGTTTTATATTGTAAAATAAACATAAAATAACTAAAATATTTTGATCTAAGATGGATAATAAGGGAGAATTTATATCCAGTTCGTATTAAAACATATTACAGAGATATGTCATTGTTCAAACGATTCTTAGTAAATACTGTATTTGAAGGGCGGTGGCTGTCTGGAGAAAGATCTCACTGGGAACGTTCCCAGGATTCTTCAGAACACCTCGTGGTCACTTAGAACAGAAACAGAATTTAAATTTTCTTTTCCCATTTTATTGAGATATACTTAACTAATAAAAATAGTATAAATTAATTTAATTTTTTTTGTTGTTTTTTAAAGACAAGGTCTCTCTTTGTAGTTCAGGGTGGCCTTGAACTTGCTATCCTCCTGCCTCAGCCTCTTCAGTACCGGAATTAGTATATGCCACCACACCAGGATAATTGTATAAATTTAATATCTACATGTGTTGATATATGTATACACTGTGAGGTGATTCCCACAATCAAACTGATTGACCTGTCCATCTCATATAATTACCAGTTGTGTGTGTGTGTGAGAGAGAGAACATTGAAGATCAACTCTCTTATCAAATATGCAATACAGTATTGTTAACTGTGGTCTCCATGCTGTTCCTTGGGTCTCCAGGACTTAGTCATTTGGTGTAACTGAAACTTTCTATTTTTTGACCAAGTATCTCCCCATTTTTTTCATACTCCTAATCCGTGGCAACCACTATTCTACTCTCTGCTCCTATGACTTCAGCTTTTCAAAGTTCCATATAAAAGGGAGATCATTTAGCATTTGCCTTTCTCTGTCTGACTTATTTCACTTAACATAATGTTCTTTAGGGCCATTAAAAAATGGGCTGAGGACCAGAATAGATATTTCTCAAAAGTATGCAAATGGCCAACAGTTGTATAGAAAGGTACACAGTCATTCACTAGTGAATTGTCAGGGAAGTGCAAATCAAAATCACAATGAGATATCCTTTCATATCTGTTAGAATGGCTATTATCAAAAAGAAAAATGGCTAACAAGAGTTGGTGAGGATATACAGAAGAGAGGACCTTCATACACTGTTGGTAGGAATGTGTTTTGGCCAGTTTTTCATCGCCATAACCAAATTACCTGAGAAAAGCAACTAAATGGAGAAAAAGTTTGTTTTGGTTATTGTCTTCTGCAGTTTCAGTCCATGGTTAGCTGGCTGGCTTCAAGGTAAAAACATCATAGTTGAAGGATATGGCAGAGGTAAGCTGCTCAACTCTTGGAGGAAAGTAGCTCATGAGAGGTAGGAGCCAAGGAAGAGAGGGTCAGGGACCAAATGTAGACCCACTAAAAAGTGTACTTTATTCATCTCCTGGGTGTCTCTTAAGCCAGTCACACTGTCATTAAGATTAAGCATCTCGGGCTGGGGATTTAGCTCAGTGATTCCGGCGCCTGCCTCACAAGCGCAAGGTCCTGAGTTCAATCCCTGGTACCAAAAAAATAAATAAATAAAAAATATTAAGCATCTCAGAATATAAATTGGGACATCCTTTATGGAAAACAGCATGGAGGTTGCTCAAAAAGTTTAAAAATAGAACTACTCTATAATACAACAATCTCATTTCTGGATATATATATATCAGAGAGGTATCCACACACCTATGTCCATTGCAAGGTTATTCACAATAGCCAAGATATGAAAACAGCCTAAGTTTTCATTGACAGATGAATAGATAAAGAAAATGTGAAATATACAAACACACTGTAATATTAGACTTCAAAAAGAAAGACGTTAGCTGGGTGTGGTGGCACACATCTGTAATCCCAGCCCTGGGGAGGCTGAAGCAGGAGGATCACTGAGAGTTTGAGGCTAGCGAGACCCTGTATCAAAAAACCAAAACCAAACCAAACAAAAAAGTTATGCTGTTTGCAAAAACATGGATGAACCTGGACAACATCATGCTAAGTGAAATAAGCCAAACAGTTGCCTGAGGTATGGGATTCACCATCCCCCTATGCCCACACTTTCACCTAAACAAGCTGCCATGCCCCATGTGCTCATGCTATTATGGGTTACAGGAACTGGGCCTAGGGCCTTGCTGTCCAAAGTGAAGTTTCTGCACCAGCACCAGCATCTTTGGGAGCTGACTGGAAATGGAGAATCTCAGCCCCGCCCCAGACCTGAAATCAGGACCGGCATTTTAACAGAATCCCTTAGGGATTTTATACACATTAAAGTTTAAGAAACAATGTACCACACCAACCTTCTTGTCTATGGGATGAAATGACTTATCCACCTTACTTATTTTAATAGAACCTAGGGTTATTTCAAAGGTATTTTCTGTTTTCATATTCTTGTAAAATATTACCAGCCACTTCTGCACCTGATTATGACTTTTGTTGTTGTTGTTGTTGTTATTGTTTCTGTTCATTTGCTATAGGAGACAGGTTCTCAATGTACATAGTCCTGGCTGGCCTGGAACTGGCTACATAGCCTAGGTTCATTTCAATCTTGAGATTCTCCTGCCTCAGCCTCTCAGGTGTTGATATTATAGGCATGTGCCACCATGCCCACCCTGACTCTAATGATTTTTTAATCTGTCTCTTTTAGGACATGTTCCCAATGGTCTCAAATGCCATCCTGACCAGGAGCATCTGATTTATCCTCTGGGTTGTACAATACTCATTCAGGCAATAAATACTCAAGAGCAGAATTTCCTACATGGTCATAGTAACAATGTCTCCTGTTTGACCATCTCCAAGAATGGAGATTACATTGCCTCCGGACAAGTCACATTCATGGGGTTCAAGGTGAGCAGAGGGAAAACAATTTAGTGTGCATGTGTGCAGAAATGCCTTCCTAGAATTGCCTCATTCCAAGCCCTTGGCCCTGTGTCACTGCAATGTGTTCTGCTCTTCCTTCTTCCTTTTGACCTCTTGCAATTTATTTTCACCTCCTCAGGCTGACAGTGAAGGAATCTGATGTTTTTATACCAGCTGTTGCAGCTTGTGACTGATGAAGTTCAGGAACAAAAGTCCCCACTTAAAACTATTTCCTTATTGTTGTCTGCCATGTTTATAAAATGTGATCTCACTTCCAGAAAAGTGTACTATTACCCCCCAAGAGGAGTAGCCATCCCTCAGATTCTTAAGCCTGGTTAGGACCTGACAGTATATTCTCACCCACAGGCAGATATCATTTTGTGGGATTATAAGGAAAGGGAGCTGATTGCTCGGCTGTCACTTCACAAGGGCAAAATTGAAGCTCTGGCCTTTTCACCAAATGATTTGTACTTGGTATCACTAGGAGGCCCAGATGATGGAAGGTAAGGAATTAATTCTACTTGTTTTCTACCAGGTCTATTTCCACATGTGTTAACTATGCTGTCCCCTCTAATGTCCTCTGTTGGTCCAGCCGTGTTTGAGCACTCGAGGTGTGAAAAGTCTATGAGAAAAGCACCACACATAGTGGTTCTCAGTTCTGGGTGCACACTGCAGTCAGCTGCTGAGCTCTGGCAAACTATGGATACAGTGCCTGACTCTACTTTCAGGAGTTATAAAAGCTTCCCAGGAGATTTGAATGTGTAGCTAAATTCAAGAACCACTGCTATCAAAGAAAGACGATGGTCATGACTAGAATGATGATCGTAACTAAAGACAACAGCTAAGCATGTACTACATGACAAGAGCGTGCTGAGCACTTTCATGGCATTACCCTATGTAAGTTTCACAACCTCCCTATGAGGTGGAAGCTACTGGTGCTCAGTGACAGTCGAGGAACTTAAGTCACCAGTGAGGGAATGACAGAACTGGGAGACAAACCCTGGAGGTGTGACTCCAGAGATAGAGTTTAATTTGCCTCACCGAGACAGGAGCTTTGCCCCTTGAAGAACTCTCGGTAAAGTTTGGCAGACAGAGAACACATACAGATGAAACTGGGGGAAAGTATATTTTAAACATTATACGGTATTGGGGAAAACAATAATGTGGCACATATTCTTATGTAAATATTAAAGAGACATAGTCTGCAGGAGAAAAATAATAACACCTGAGGTTTGTGTAGAATTTAATATTTCGATATACTTTTACATATACAGTGTTTTCTGGTTTGAGCTTCCTGGGTCTGTTACAAAGTTTCCATGCTGACAATTCTCTTAATGTATAGAAAGTCAACACATTTTTCATGATTTTTCCTCCTTTAGTAGTCATTTGTAGGTGATCATACCATCCCTGGACCATATGACTGATTTTGTTGGTGGTGGTATTGTTATTTGTTTGTTTGTTTGTACTGGGGATCAAACCCAGGGATGTTCTACCACTGAGCTATATCACCAGCCCTTTTTATTTTTATTTTGAGATACAGTCTCACCAAGTTGCCAAGAGTGGCTTCAAACTTCTGATACTTCTGCCTCAGCCTCCTGAGTAACTAGGATTACAGTTGTGTGCCACTAAGCTTGGTTCCCATTTAACTGTCTTTAATGAAAAATATATTGAGAACACCTACCAATATTCTAATCTCAACTTAAAGCAGTTGTTCTCAACCTAGGATGAATGTTGGAATCACCTGGGGAGACTGAAAATATTCCAAAGCCTGAGTCTAACCCCTGGAGATTCTTGAAGATTGGCCTAAGGCAGGCCTCCCCATCTCTACGCCCTGCCAGAGGGAGTAGGTCTAAGGGGAGAAAAATGGCCACTTCACCAAGGTTAATCTGGCAAAACTGTTATTCTCCCTGCAAATTGAAACTTGATTTTAGGCTGCCTACAATTTGCTTGCAGAAAATTGGGGAGTGTAGATGTAGAGGAGCCCACGAAAAAAGGATAAGCGAACTTTACTGTACTAGGAAAATGCAGTGTGCACATCCATGATTAGTCACTAGGGTGAGGAGGACGGGTTCTGCTGATTGATTTCAGTTGATCTGGGGTCAACCCTGTGGAACCTGAACCATATGGCTTCCGTGCAGATGGAGAGAGACAAGGAAGATGCGAACTGCAGTGAACTTTCTATAGTTTAGTCTTTCTGTGAGTACCTGTTATATTTTGTAACCTATTTATGAAAGTGTTTTAGTATCAATGTTACACCACCCATATTGTAATATAGCCGACACCAAGGACATCTCTGTATATTTCATTATTCTAGACTTATATCTTAGTCTTTGCAGTAAGCGCGTGCAATTCCATGGTACAGATTGCCAGAATTATTTGGCCAACTCACCACATATGTTAGTACCCTTTATTTATTTTTAAATTTTTAACTTACTTCTGAAAAGGCAAAGCTATACTTGGCCAAGATTTATGAAGAAACCATGTTGACTTACTATGCAGAATGACCCAAGATGCAAAAGTATAAGACTCCCAGTGCCACTCCTCATGTGGCGTCACTAGGAAGAGCTTACTCTCCAGAGGCTTTTGGATTTTTGTTTGTTTTGTGGCTTTATCGAGATATTTTTCATGTACTATGAAATTTCCCATCTAAGGTGTACAGTTGGACAGTTTTTCTGTATTTGTGGAGTTGTCAACCATCACTACAATCCATTTTAGAATATTTTCGACACCCTAAAAATTTAACTCCCATATCTGACTAGCAGTCATGCCCTATCTCTTCTCTTTCCAGTGCCACTCTCCTTTCTGCCTCCACGGATTTGCCATTTCTGGACCTTTCACATAAATGAAACCATAGCATGTAGGGCCCTTTGTGTCTAACTTTTCACTATGCATTATGTTTCCAAGGTTTATCTACTTAGGGTATGTCATTATTTTATTGTCAAATAATATTCAAATAAATTGTGTGGTTATGCCACATTTTATTTATCTATGTACCGGTTGATGGATTTTTGGGTCATTTCCACTTTTTATTGTTGTGCTAGGGCTTTTACAGTCTCTTCTCCTTCCCCTTCTCCTTCTCTCCCCCTCCTCTTCCCCCTCTTCTTCCTCCTCCTCCTCCTCCTTTTTTCCCTGTATTTTCTGGTTATCATTTTCAACTTTTATATGAGCTGTCTCTCAATTTTTCCTTGTTAGATGCTATTTCTACTATGAAAAATGAAAACATATATAGCTTTTACACCACTTTCTCATTCCTGATGATCTTGGCTATACCTAGATTTTAAACTACCTATAATAATAATGTATTCTACTTATAGAAAAATTGGGAAGTATGGATGAGTGTGTTTTAACAAGGTTTGTGACATTTGCATTCTTTTACTTTAAACATTTTGATACAATCATTTGGGGATTGTTTGTTTTTTAAGACAAAGTCTTGATATGCAGTTCAACCTGACCTTGAACTCACCAGGTTGGTCTCAAACTCATGGCAATCCTCCTGCCTCAGCCTCCTGAATGCTAGGATCACAGGTGTGCACCACTGTGCCTGGATTGGTGCAATAATTTGACATTATACCCTGTTCCCACCATTCTTGGTATTGCTATCCAAACACTATTCCATTTAGGACTAAGTTGTGTGGTTGCACCCAGAAAGAAGGAGATGTTATCCTAAGATAATGCTTCTTAAAAGTGTAGGCCCCAACAGTTTGTAATAGCTAAATCTTGGAAATAGTCCAAATGCCCATCAACCAATGAATGGAGAAGGATGTGGGTTTTTTAAATACATGGAGTACTACTCTGCCATAAAGAAGGATGAGCTTCAGACATTTATAGCTAAATGGATGGACCTTGAGACCATACTCTTAAGTGAAATAAATCAGACACACATGTTTAAATATTGCATAGTAAGGGCCGGGGACTTGGCTCAGTGGTGCTGCGCCTGCCTCACAAGCACAAGGTCCTGAGTTCGATCCCCAGTACCAAAAAAAATTTAAAATTAAATACTACATTGTTTCTCTCATGTGAGAAACTAAAAGGGGAAATAAAGACTAAAATGTATAATAGATATGGGAAAATAGGAAGAAAATGTTCAAATGGGAAGGGGAACAAGGGAGGAGGGAGAAAGAAAGGGAAGAAAGGGACAAGAAAAAAGTGAAAATAAAAAGAAAAATGGAAACAAAGCTTCTGTACATAAGGAAGGGAGGGGGCTTGAGGGAAGGTGGTAATGGGATAAAATTAAATTAAATAAAATTGAAGTCTATGCCCCAGACAGCAGCATCTGCTCACCTGGGATTTGTGAGAAAAGCAAATTCTCAAACACTAGACACTCAGTGTGTAGGGCCCAGCAAGCAGCCTGTCTTAATAATTCTTTTATAATTATTGTTTTAATTGTATAGCTGGTTATGGTGCCACATGCCTGTAATCCCAGCACTTGGGAGGCTGGGGCAGGAGGATCACCTCAGGTTCGAGGCCAACTTGGACGACACAGTAAGTTCAAGGCCAGCCTGAACTACATAGTGAGACCTTGTCTTTAAAAAAAATTGTACAACTTCTAGGGTACCGTGTGATAATTGGACACATGTGCAGGTTGTATAACCACATATAATGATCAAATCAACTGACCTGTCTTAATTATTCTGATTTGATGCACGTTCAAGTTTGAGAACACTACCCAATTTCATTGCTGGAAAATGTCCCCAAAGAAAAATTTTACCTGAAACAAATGGGTGGTAAACTTTTAGGCCTTGCATGTCTGAAAATGTCTTTATTTTAGCATCTGACTTGATTGATGGACTCACTAGCTTCAGCCTCATAATGATTTTCCTTCAAAGCTTTTAACAAGTGTCACCTATTCTATTATCCTGGATAATATCACTGGATATTCTAATATGCAGTGTGATTGAAGAGATGTGGAGGTGGTCAGTGCAATTTATTTTTATTGTCGTTCCTTTGTTCATAACCTGTTTTGTTTTATTCTCTTTCTAGAGCCACTGAAATAGGTATTTCTTTTTCTGAAAGCACGATTTTCTGTGATTTGTTCCCTTCTTGCTTTGACAGTGTGGTGGTATGGAGCATAGCCAAGCGAGATGCTATCTGTGGCAGCCCTGCCGCTGGACTCAATGTCGGGAATGCCACCACCGTGGTCTTCTCAAGGTGCCGGGACGAGACATTTGTCACTGCTGGAAAGTATGTCTCTGCAGTCAGAGTGTCAAAACCCACAAGTTACTATGTTTTCTTGCACAGAAAACATGGTCCAGTCCACTTAGGAGAACATGTATTTAATCCCAAACAAACACCTTACATCATAAATTTTGCAGTCATTTAAAGTCCTTTTAGTTAGATGTCTTTTAAATATGATTCTTTGAAAATGCTGATTTCTACTGAAGAGATTTGTTGACCTGCTGAACTCATCTCATATTGTTTTTTGTCACCAAAACACATTTTTTTCCATCTGTGCTCACAAAGTAATTTGCACAATTGCACGGATTCACTTACCGTTGATATTTCTTACCACCTGCACTCGATTTAGGTCTCATGCAGTGATATTTTGCAAATGAACTGTGCCAGGAAGTTTCAAATGTTTAGCCTGTTAGTCATATGTCATAATCTCCGGTAAGGCCAGCTTTAAACAGCTCATGGTGACCAAGGTGAATGCCTGAACAGAGGCCTCTGCTTCTTTCTAATAGAATAAGTTAATTTATCGATGGGCAATCAGAGCCCTTTTTGGAGTTGCAGGAAAGGCTAAGCATCCTTTTTTCATGTCATTCAGTAGTTCAAAGGAAAGAAATCAGAAAATGTCAAAGTAAATGTTGGGTGGAACTGTGCTTTTCAATCCATCTGTCATTTCCTATCTATGAAAGGTACATACTATTGGTTACTTTTCCAGGCGGACTAAGGAATTTGTGCTGTGCTATATCTATGTGATTTCCTGTTCCTACCTTGTGACACACTGTATGCATTCCGTATGTATTCCATGGCTAATTAGGAGGAAGGATTCATGAAGAGGTCTTGAAATCTCCTGCCCAACATAAAAGCCAGCCCCTTTTGAGCAAACCATACTAGGACAGGACTCTGATACTAAAGCAGTTGGCCGTGTCCTACTCTATCTCCTGGGGCTACCCATGCCCATGAAGCTCCTCTATTTCTATCAAGTTTGCAGAGTGGCTTTATGAAGACTTTGTGTTAAGGGGATCTTTTGTTTCTCAGTGGCTGCTTGGCAGAAGGCATCAGTCCATTTTAATGGCCACAGACAACATTTCTCCAGGAGTTAAAACTGAAATTATATACCAAAGAGAATGTTTCAAGGATAATTTGTATTCTCAATCTGCCTCAGCTTCAAGTGACACTAGTACAGTAACCAGGAAAGTTAACATTCTTCAGTCAGTTTCTATTATGGCTCTTGTATTGCCTGGGTTCTCTAGAGCAGCCCCAAGTTCATGGATTCTATTATATTGTCCCCATGAGAAAGTCTGCAGATTCCATTAGGGTCAGACAAAAGCTCTTTTTATTTTTAATTTGGAAAATACATTTGAAATATTTATAGAGCATACTCTATTTATACACATACTACAGGTATGTGTATAATTTTGAAGGCTAAAAAAAAACCCCTGAACTTGATGTATTTTTAAATTAATCTTTTCTACCTTATAATATTAGTTGGAATCTGACTGTGATGTTGACCTTGATATTTTTAAACAATTACTAATTCAGATAACTCAATATACAATGACTAAAAAACAGCCATATATCAAGTCCTGTATTAGGTGCTATCTTAGTTTAACTTTTAGGTGATTGGTCTCATTTGTCCTTTTTTAAAGACAAAACTTTCCATACTAAAGTGTTTCCCTTAAAATTTTCTACCCAACTCAGTACCTTGACATTCCTCCTAACTGCAGTGTACCGTCCCAAACAAATGTCTCCCCACTTCCCCTTCCCTAGCCTCTGCTAATGACTATTGTACTTTCCGTTCCTGTGAGGTCAACTTTTTTAGATGCCACATGAGTGAGGTCACGCAATGTTTGTCCTTCTGTGCCTGGCTTATTTCACGTGTCCTCCAGGTTCATTAAAATTGTCACAAATGACAGGATTTCCTCTTCCTTAAGACTGACTAGTGTTCCTTTGCATATATATACCACATTGTCTTTTTTTTTTTTTTTTTTTGGTATCAGGGATCGAACTTGGATCCTTGCGCTTGCACAGCAGGCGGCGAAACCACTGAACTAAATCCCCAGCCCTACATTGTCTTTTTGATGCATGCTTAGGTTGTGTATGTCGCAATGACCACAGTTCATAATAACATATTTAAATATATGTGATGTAGAATATATGAAACAGTATATTTCAAATGCTAAGAGAGTAGACTTTAAGTGTTCTCACCACAAAAAGAGGAGTATATGAAGTAATACATATGCTTAATAAGCTGATTTAGCCATTCTACAATGTATACATATATCAAAACATCATGTACACTTTTTTTTTTGGTACCGGGGATTGAACTCGAGTCCTTGCCCTTGCGAGGCAGACGATGGAACCACTGGGCTAAATCCCCAGCCTATGTACACATTTTTTACTTGTCAATTAGTAAAGAAGAAAGAGGGAAAGAAACTTAAAGAACTCCAATTTGCTCTGCACATTTCCTTGCACATCTCATGTTTGGTTTTGGGATAGTGAGTAGACTACACACTTCAAAGGGAGAGGGCTAGGTGTAAAGCCTCGCTTTGCGATGTACAAGCTCTGCATTACCTCATTTGGAGAGTGAGGTATCTTATAACCCTACTGTTAGGATCGTCATGGGGACTAAGAGAAAGATCTTAAGTAGAGCACTATGCTATTTTTTTAAAAAAAACTTTAACAATGTTTAATTCTCTTCAAATTATCCTGCAAGAGGACACAGAAAACATAAAAGAGGTGAACTGGCTGTTAAATGGATATTCATTTAATTGTGATTTTTCTTCATAGTGGGACAATTCGAGTGTGGGAACTGGATCTTCCAAATAGAAAGATCTGGCCAACTGAGTGCCAGACAGGACAGATGAAAAGAATAGTCATGAGTATTGCAGTAAGTGTTACTTCCAGGAGTATTTTCAGTAACTGTCAATACAAGTTCCTGATAACAGTACTGACCAAAGTGGGTGTGCTTGGGCTGCTTGCAGGAAGGTCAAAGGTGGACATGGGGAATGTTAGTGAGGGAATGTGCCTGCAGGTGGGAGGGCATCTCAGCTCTGGTGTGCCCTCAGGAGCGGGGGAGGAGCTGCCTAGGCAGCACTGGGAGACTCAGAAAAAACTGGGACCTGAGCTGCCATCAGATACCCAAAGCTGCTTCACCTGGAGGGAAGCAGAATAGCTAGGTGGCACTCACATCTCTATGCTGCCAATCCTATTTCTGCCACTGGAAATAAAGTTTCTGATAGTAAAATTCATTGTTGCAATTTCTTCCATAAAGAAAAATATTAATATATTTTTAATGTGGATATATACATTCATGGTTATAACTTTATTCTCCATTGACTTATTCCTCTTGTTTAATGCATAGTCATTGTATGAATAGAGACTTTGGAGGTGATGAGGCAAAGCAATGCAGATCCTCTTGGGAGAAGCACAACTTCATCCCAGGAGCCCTTGACAGTAGCTCAGGAGTCAGCGCTGGCAGCTGTGTCTTGAGTGATATTAAGCAGACTGTGCAGCCTAAGTGGAGTCTAATATTCCTTCTAGGCCTACATAGAGGCCTGATTCTGCTCCTCTTGGAGCTGCTCTTATCCAGCTTGATTTGACCACTCCACAACGTGGACATAGAAGGAGCCAGGTGTATCTTTGTGGGTCTTCATGGGGTTTCAGAGGACACTCATCTCCTCCTTGGTCAGGAGCTCATGAATCACAAAGAAAACATGGCTCTTCAAGTTTCTTTTCCTCTCTTCCCAGATGGCTGACGATGACAGTTTTTTCTACCTTGGCACCACAACTGGAGATATTCTCAAAATGAACCCCAGGACAAAGCTGCTGGCAGACACTGGGCCTGCAAAAGACAAGTACAGTTTGGTGAGTAAAGATCATCAGGGTCTTATCTGCTCCTCCATATCCTTCTCTTACATTGGCAGCACAGTCTTTCATTAAGAGTCTGTACATAGCCAGGTGTGGTGGCACACATCTGTAATCCCAGCACTTGGGAAGCTGAGGCAGTAGGATCGCCTTGAGCTTAAGGCCAGCCTGTGCTACATAGTGAGTTCAAGGCCAGCCAGGACTGCATGGGAAGACCCTGTCTTTAAAAAGAAAAATGAGGGGGGGCCAGGGATTTAGCCCAGTGGTTCTGGTGCCTGCCTTGAAAGTGCAAGGTCCTGAGTTCCATTCCCGGTACCAAAGAAAATCTCTTGTTGCCTTTGCTACCTTGTATGTGCCATGTTGTTTCTGCTCTTCCATGCCTGTTTGTTGTCCCTGCCTTGGAGTTAGCTGATTATGGATTGAAACCTCTATGAACTGTAAGCCAAATAAACCCCTTCCACTTTAAAAAAAATAAATAAAAACAAAAAAGAGGGCCAGGGATGTAGCTCAGTGGCACTGCACCTGCCTGTCAAGCACAAGGTCCTGAGTTTGATTCCTGGTACCAAAAAAAAAAAAAGAGTTTATAGAAAAAAAATGATTGGTCAGTGATATACCCGAGGCCATATCTACATTTGCAAAGCACACTCCAAGTTCTCTAAGCCTTTATCTCTATTTTTCAGGACAAAGATATTCCTAGGTGTCTTTCATTAGGGAATGAATATCATACCCTCTTTTTCACCCCCTCAAAGCACAAAGTCTGTCACTTTGTGATTTGGAATTGCACTGGTTGTGGCCAAATTGTCATATGTAAGAAAAGTATTATATATATATTCTTTTTTTCATCAACTTACTGGTGCCTCAGTTCTTAAACTTTTGACCACAATTCTGGTTGCAAATCAAGTTGGATGAGAACTGAGTCAAATTCAATGGTTAGGTTCAATGTTGAACTTATGGGGAAATTTTATTTGGTTCTTGTCCAATTCTGTTTGCAACCAGAATCATGGAAAGAATTAAGTTCATGAACTGAGGTACCACTGTATATATGTAAACATTGGATGTGTAAAATCTTTTTTCTACTCTAGGAACTAGATCTTGAATTTTAGCCTCATCTGACATTATAAGTCATAAATGAGACCTAGGAATAGTTGATTGTTCATATTTACAGAATTCCTATCAATTCTGGTTAAGAGTCCAGTAAACAATGTTGGTATTTAAGCCAAAATAAAAAGCCAACTATAAAATAATATCTTTTTATTACAAGTGTGACAATTTCCAGCATCCCCAGCAAGTTTCAAGGGTTATTTCTACTAAACTTTGTGTGTTAAAGTTTGTGCTAAGTTCTGCACCTGCCTATCTCATTTCTGATAACAGAACAGATGGTTCTAACTAGGCTTAGATACTTTTCCACTTAGCAGATTTTCTTAAGAAACTTGGAAATATTGCACCCGGTTCCTGGGAAAATGTCAGTTTTATTAATCATATAATCATATAATAGTCAAGTTTTAAGGAGGAAAGCTACAGTTTAGGTAGAGAAGATTTGGAATAATTCCCAGGAGGTCAAAATATAGCCTAAATGGGTGTTTTTCTAATTATTTGTGGGAGAAGGATTTCAATGTATTAAACAGGTAAAAGCAAAGCAGATCAGGCTAAAGGAAGGTGAGGCTTAGAGCCTTGCTACTTCCACCTCCTGAGATGTCTCCACATATGCTACCTGAAAACTACTGATTTGGATATTTTTTGCCTGCCCAGAACTTATGATCTAAGTTCCTCTCCAGCTGTCTTAGTGTCCCTCAAACCTTTGGCATTCAAAATTAATTTCTAATCATTGAAGTCAGGTGGTAAGTTCCACAAAGCAATGATTCCAAGACACTGTTTATTGTTGTTGTTGATTTTTCTGAGACAGGGTCTCACTATGTAGTCCAGGCTGGCCTCAGACTCACAGCAATCCTTCTGCCTCAGCCTCCCAAGTGCTGGAATTATAGGCATGGACCACCATGCCTTCTCCAAAACACCTTTTACATGGGTGGGAAGAAAATAATGTCTGTGGGATAAAGGGATAGAAGATGCTAATGAAGATGTTTGGTTTGTATATCAAGGGATCTCGGGAAGTTGTCTCTTTTGAGACTCTTCTTAGACGTTTGGTTTATGGTTAGAAAGGTAAAGAATTGGAATGGCTCTAAACGGACCTAGTAGATGTATAACATTAAACTAAAAAGACAGTGATGATAATAGTAATAACAAAAACACTATGTTTACAACATTTGTATAACAAAATTACATAACTCTCCAAAAGGAGATCAAAGAACTAAACAGAAAAATATTCCATGTTCATGAGCTTAATACTGTCAAGATGTCAGTTCTTCCAACTTGTCCCATAGAGTCAATGTAATTGTCATAAAAATCACAACAAGGTACTTTGTGGACATTGATAAACTGATTTATATAGAGAAGTAAAGGATGCAGACTGGCCAACACAATACTGAAGATTGAAGTTGGAAGCCTGACACTACCAACCTCCAAGATTTGCCATAAAGCCATAGTGAGCAAGACAGTATAGAGCCAGGTGGGGTGACGCACTCCTGTAGTCCCAGCACTTGAATGGCTGAGGCAGGAGGATCCTGAAAGTTTGAGGCCAGCCTGGGCTACATAGTGAGTTCAAGGCCAGCCTGGGCTACATAGCAAAACCCTGTCTTGAAAAACAAAGGGCCAGGGATATAGCTCAGCAGTACAGAGCCTGACAGGCAAGCCTAGGGTCCTGAGTTCAATCCTGGGAAGAAGAAAAGAAGAAGAAGATGAAGGAGAAGGAGAGGAAGAGGAAGAGGAAGAAGAAGAAGAAGAGGAGGAGGGGGAGGAGGAGAGGGAGGGGGAGGGAGAAAAACAAACAAAACAAAAGTGGGGGCTTTGGTGAAAGATCAATGGAATAAACAGAGAGCCCAGAAATAGACCTGCATAAATATACTCAACTGATCTTTTTTTTTTTTTTTTTTTTGTACCGGGGATCGAACTCGGGACCTTGTGCTTGCGAGGGAGGCGCCAGAACCACTGGGCTAAATCCCCAGCCCCTCAACTGATCTTTGACAGCAGGACAAAGTTAATATAATGGGAAAAAAATATAGTCTTTCAAAACATGGTGCTGGAACAAGTGAACATCCATATGCAAAACAAGACAAAACCAAAAAACCATTTAAAATCCCCCCAAAAGAAAAGAATCAGCCAGGCATGGTGGTACATACCTATAATCCCAGTACTCTGGGAGGCTGAGACATGAAAATTCCAGATCCAAGCTCAGTCTGGGCAATTTAGTGACTTAGATCCTGTCTCAAAATAATTTTAAAGAAAGAAAAAAAATCTAGACACAGACCTTATACACTTCATAAAAATAACTCAAAAATCACAGACCTATGTGAAAAACATAAAACTCCCAGAATACAATAAAGAAACTCTATATGACTAAGATTTAGTGATGACTTTATTATTAGCAATAGTATTATTATTTTTGTTTTGTTTTTTGAAACAGGTTCTAGCCATGTAATTCAGGCTGGCCTTGAACTCAATATGTATCCCAGGCTGTCCTGAAACTTGCAGTGTTCCTCCTGCTTCAGCCTCTTGAGTGCTAGGGTTACAGGGGTACACTATCACACCTAGCAAATAGTGATGACTTTTTAGATACAACACCTAAGATATGATCCATGAAAGAAAAAAATTCATAAAATAATACTTCATAAAATATTTATTTTATGAAGAAAATAATACTTTAACCTCTGTAAAACGCAGTCAAGAGGACAAAAAGTCAAGCCATAGAGTGGGAGAAAATATTTGTAAAAGATACTTCTGATAAAACATGTATTTCTGGTCCTGCCTTTACATTCATGAGCTTTAGTTTCTTGTCTCAGACAGAGTGGAATGTCTTTTGAGCTAGAACAGGCAACATTCAGATTAAATTAATTTGGAGCTGGGTGTGGTGGTGCATGCCTATAATCCCAGCACATCAGAGGCTGAAGTAGGAGGATTGCCACTAGTTAGAGGCCAGCCTGGACTACATAGTGAGTTTAAAGCCATCCTGAACTACATAGTGAGACCCTGACTCAAAAAAACCAGAAAGGAAAGGAAAGAAAAGGAAGGAAGAGAAAGAAAGAAAAAGGAAAGAAAGAGAAAGGAAAGAAAGGAAGGAAAGAAAGAGAAGAGAAAGAGAGAAAAGAGAGAAAGAGAAAAGAAGGAAAGAAAGAGAAGGAAGGAACTTGGAGCCAGGCATGGAGGTGCACACCTATAATCCCAGCTCTTGAGAGGCTGAGGCAGGAGAATTGGCACGAGTTTGGGGCCAGTCTGAGCAACATAGTGAGTTCAAGTCCAGCCTGAACTACATTGTGAGACCCTATCTCAAAAAAAAATAACTTGAAAGGACCTATTTGTTTTATAATACTCAAATTTAATGATGACATATGCCTATATAGTCATTAGATATATTACTTTTGTATGTTTTACTTTTAAAATTTTATTAGTACATATGTATAGTATATAATGTTTACATTCCTTGTGTGGAGTAGGTCCATGTACATAACATATCCTAATTCCTTTTTAATTCTTCTATCCCTCACCTCCAATCCCCTCCCTCCAACTCTTGGCCCCCTGCCCTTTGAGAAAGACCTATCTCCCTATTTCCTACTATCTATCTTTTATTTTGCTCTTTATTTTTACTATGGGCTTCTCATATAAGAGAAACCATGTGATACTTAAGTTTGTGTGTCTGATTTATTTCACTTAACATTATGGTCTCAAGGTGCATCCATTTCCTACAAAGGACTCAAGTTTATCTTTCTTTATGGCAGAGTAGTACTCCATTGTGTATAAATACAGCAATAAACTTCCTTTCTTAGGACTCCTTTCATTGAGTCCCATAAGTTCTGATATGATGTACCGTCATAATCATTTAGTTCTAGAAGCGATCTTATTCCTTCCTTAATTTTTTCCATAGCCCATTTTGTTTATTTACAAGCATATTG